TGCGCACATGCACACACAAACACACTCTCTCTCTCTCTCACACACACACACACACACACACACACACACACACACACACACACACACACACACACACACACACACACACACACACACACACACACACACACACACACAAACACACACTCTCTCTAACACACACACACTCTCTCACACTCTCCCACACACACAAACACACACACCCACACATGCGCACATGCACGCACAAACACACTCTCTCTCTCACACACACACACACACACACACATGCGCACATTCACGCACAAACACACTCTCTCACACACACTCTCACACACACTCTCTCACACACACTCTCACACACACACACACACACACACACACACACACACACACACACACACACACACACACACACACACACACACACACACACACACACACACACACACACACACACACACACACACACACACACACACACACACAGTCTCCCACACACACACACACACACACACACTTGTGCAAACTTGTTATTTGCACTCGGTTTCATTGCATTGTTTAATTGTAATACTTTTGTCATTTTCTTTGCCAACACTCATTTTCCTAGCAGATAATGTTGTAAATGTCGTCAACAATCTTTTAATCACAATGATCAAATGCATTGCAAGAAATAAAATAAAAGAAGATTTTTCCTCAGTACTTTTGTCTTGTTTTCCAGCACAAATATCTAAACATTCTTAAATGAAGACATTGAGTCTTGTTTTATGAAAGAAATTTATGCTTAAATGCTTATTTTTTAAGGAAAATAAGTAATCTTTCTTATCCCGTTAGCAGATATGTTTTTCTTGTTATAAGCATAAAATCACTTAATTTTGATGTATTTTGCAGAACAGAAGACTAGCGGTGTTCTCCACGAGGACGAGGAAGTTTCAGCAGCTCTGCGATTTACTGACAAATCATACATCTCCATATGATCAGCTCCATCCGGGCTTGCTGTTACGGAAAGAGTGAAGCTGATTGGTTGGTTCTTGTCACATGACCTGCGGTGCGCTTGCGGCATTCTGAAACGTTGGGTTTTTTCCTCTCGCTGTGGCCTAGAAAAAATGAGTGTTGTGACGCTCTATTGTCTACAGTTAAAATAACAAACTTGAGCGCGCAAAAAAAAAGATGTGACGTGAACGGCCCATTATACTAAAATAATAATAATAGTCAAATAACATGGGCAGAAATGATAGTGTGACATCTGGGGCCGGTTTCACAAAGCTATTTTAGACCGGTCTATAGTGTTAGACAAGTCTTAAATCTGCTCATAGACTAGTCTAATGCAAGTTAGACAGTTTCACAAAAATAAAGACTGACTTAAATTAGACCAAAGAAATTAGACACCTTAGGCTAACTCAGGTCTGAGACTCTGTTACCGTGGCAACCAGCAGTGACAATCAGTTACACTACAAACAGCCGAAAGAAAAGGGAAAATGGCTCATAATTTGAGGTTTGCTGACGACGTTATGGATAGCTATGAGAAGGGAAAGGTTTTTTAGGGACCGCAGTAACCTACTGGAAATATGTTTTTGTATCTTTTCTGTACGTCTTCAATGCTCGGATTATCTGCCGTAGCAATCTTTGTCCAAATTAAACATGTCTTCTTGTTTCTACATTCTCCGCTAACTCTCCCCAGTTAAATGTCCTTGTAACTGTTACACTCCTCCAACACACACATATCTCCCGCTGGGGTAAACTGCACCGAGCGGGTGAATGCGCTTACTCCATCCGGCAGGTTTTTAGTTTTGAAAAGTGTCTTATTTTACCCAGAATGCATTGCAGTGTAGTCCTACTTCAGATAGTCAGAGTCTTCAGTGCTTTGTGCAACGGCCTGATTTAGACGTCTATCTGAAGTCTGACTATCTACTATATCTACGCCGTAGTCAAAGTGTATCTTCGTGAAACCGGCCCCAGGACTGGATTGGTTTACAAAAGCACTGACACAAACACAACTCATTCGTCTTAGATAAGAGAATAACATAGTATGAAAAAACGGTGGAGTATCCCTTTAAAAGCGCAGTATACCGTGAAAGAGAACTAATTTCTCTGACTGCAAGTGTGTGTGTGTGTGTGTGACTGACTGACTGCGCCTGTCGGCCTAGTTAGAATACTGAATTCTCTTTATAGCGCTTGAACAAATACACATAGCTACAATTACTTCAAAATATTCATCTTGGCAAGTATTTACGTAAAACAATCAGTAATAACTGATTGGGACGTTTGCCATTACTGTAGTAGGTCTTAAAGTGACAGTAACCTAATTTACCAAGCATTAATGTTAATGTTAATCAAGCAACAACAATAGGCTACAGCACAATTTTAAAAAAAGAATTTGATTAGACCAAATAAACAAGCTTTATGCATTTTGTTTGTGATTTGTGTCATGTTGTGCATCTGACATAATACTATTATGGTAAATGTGATGTCCTAATTATAAAATATAAAAATCGCAAATTTTTTCCACAGATTTCTGGAAATTACCACCACAAAACCAGTCATTTTGATCGCAAAAATCACATTAAAAAATCGTGAAATCCTGGAGGGACTGGTAGCCAAGTAGTTCGAAATAGACATATTTGTTTGTAATGTGCATGGTTCACAGTATAACGACCAATGAACGTTTCATAAAGTTATAATAATGCATTTTGATCACTGCAAAGCTAAACATTTAATCTAACAAAAAATGTGTTGGTATAAACCCCCCCCAAAACACCTTTTCTATCCGAAATCATCCCGATACCATAATTAGATGTAGTGTTTAGCTTCGTTGCTTGTTGCATACGGACACGTTCAGGATGCGTGTGAAGCAAATGTGCGAGAACAGAAGACACACACACCTCGTACAGTCAACCCACACAAAAAATTTAATCCCCGTTCGTGAGGCATAAATGCTCCAAACTTCAGCTTTAAAGGTGGGGGTCCGTGATGACGGGGGTTTTTAATGTAAAAACCGTACGCCAACACGCCAAACGTTTCGTAAAAAGTCATGTCACCTATGACTTACATATTTAGAACACATACACCGAGAGATTTTAATATACTTATATATGTATTTGTCGTTGCTGTCGTTATTGGTCATTTTCTTAGTTTATTTTCTTTCTTTTTTTTTGTGTAATTGTTATTATTTTTTTTATCTAGACCAGCCAGATACAAAACCGATTTTGAGCATACAGTCACATCAGCACAAAACCGGTTTAGAAACAGTCCATCCCGCTGCCAATCGTCCTCGTAGAAAAATCCGGTCCGTTCTTCCTGAAACGTTATTTCTATAGATCTATTTTTTTTTATTATTCGGTATTGTCGTATAGACTGGTGCGATACGTATCCGTATATATCTCGTGTCTTCTGTGCAAAAGTCTTTGAAAAGTATTGGACAAACACATTCACACACAGCGCTCACCTGGACGTTCATCACTGCGTTTTTGGGCAAATTCAGTCACTTCCTCGTCTTTCTGCACCCTTGGCATCACAGAGTAAACAAAAAGACTAACAAAAGAGACAGACTGCAACATTTGCCTAGTGTTGTGCCCACAGCATTATCCTCCGATGGTCGGTCTGTTAGATAAGGCACCGCTGGGCATGGTGACCGACTCTCTTTAGGACCGCAGGAGGAGGCAGGACTGTGCTCTGAAACACGACACCGCACACGGGCTCCGTCCCAAACCCTAGTGAGCCGTCTACATAGGGAGCTTCCTTCTAAAGCAGCCCGAACACTCGACATGTAACTCCTCAAACTGATCGCAAACTCATTCTGACGTCGCACGTGAACAACAGTGGTTCTCAAATGGTGCATCAGGACCTAAAAAGGGTCTCGTGTCTCTTTATGACGGGTCACAGACAGCAGGGAGGAGACTACATTAAACACAACCAATCATATAATCATAAACGGTTTGGATGGGGAAATAAGTAATTATCAACTTTTAAAGGGAGGAGAAAACACTTTCCATATCTTGTGTTGTTGATGTCAAAGGTCGTGTGGCCAATATGTCCATTCAAACTCTACAGTGTTTGGTAATGCATGAATAATCATTCAATATATATATATATATAGCTGCCTAAAATAAGTTGAATAATTAACTGAAATAAAACTACAGCTGAAAATATTAAAAAAAAACTAATACAAATTACAAAAAAGCAATCAAATAAAAATAAAAATTTAAATGAAATAAAAAAAAACAGAAAATATAAAAATGATAGCTAATTCAAATTATTAATAACCACTACAATAATTTAAAATCAACATGTTTCTAACTTTTTTTTAGCCTGTTTGCTTATAAAATTCATAAATGTGAGTGGAAGTACCTCTAATAACTACATTTTGAAAAAATGATATGAGCAATACTGATAACGTAAAGCAAATGCGACCCATTAAATACATTAGTAGTGAAGAACATGAACGAATTAAAATACAATTTTGTATGATTCAAAATGTTGGTACATGAAAAACAATTTTTTGTATGTAAAATCTAATGCAAAACCACTTGAGAACCACTGGAATCATAAATATAAACGAGCTTTCAAAAGTTTGGGGTCTGTACGATTTTTTCGTAAAAAGGCTGTAAAAAATTGTGAATTATTATTCCAAACGTAAAATAACTGTAATGTGAATATACAGTAAAGTGTAATTTATTCCTGTGATCAAAGCTGTATTTTCAGCATGTCACATGATCCTTCAGAAATCACTCTAATATGAGGATCTGATGAACATTTATGATTATCATCACTTTATCATATTGTTGTGGAAACTGACACATGTCTTTTTTTTTAGGGTTCTTTGATGACTAGCGAGTTCAAAGTAACGCATTTATTCGCTACTAATAAAACATGTGTTTACTGTCACTTTTGATCAATTATAAGTTAGTTTAGGACGGATGGCTCACTAGGTTTCGGAGCAGAGCTGCAGTGTCGCGTATCGCACGGTGTGTGTGTGTCAGCAACAACGTCAAAACGTAAAACATGTCCGAATGCGTGTGTGTGCACGTGCCGCTAATGTTTCTTCAGTGCGTCACACCGTACTCTCCAACATCCACTCTGTGCTGCTGAACGTGACCCTCCGGCTGCAGGGTGGCGACGCGTCAGTGTTCAGGTGAGTGGTGGACTTGTGCCGCCGCGTTCGAGCCCGGCGCGGGTAACTGTGGCTCTGGAACAGAGCATAGTCTCCGTCGAAGGAGAAGCGGTGCCGAGTCCGGGCCAGCTCGCTGGGGAGGAGTCCCATGTTGGACAGCGGGCCCTTCCGCAGGGGTTCGGCCGGGCCTGGGCCGGATCCGGGCCCGATCAGACACAGGGACATGGTGGAGCCCGTGAGGCTGCTGTCCGTGTGTGTGTCGTCGGAGGGCGGCCCGCACACACTGGCCCGTCGGGACGCCGGCGCCGCTTTCTCCGAGCACATCGGCGGGAGGTCCACCTTCAGCTCCTCCTGAGCCTCGTCCATCTTCAGGAGAACCAGCGCCTTGCAGTCCTTCCCGCCGGGAGACTCGGGACACTCCTCGCTGTGAGGCTTCGCCCCGGATCGGCCCGGTCGGCTCCCGTTCGTCTGCGAGTGCATGCTCACACTCGTGTCTCCCTGCGCTTTGGCCTTGGCCCCGTCGGCGCCGCTGTACGCCTTGTATCGGATCATGAGGATGATGATGAAGACGAGCACGGACGCCACGATGATGCCGCCGATGATGATGATCATGGTCCCGCCGAGGAACTGACTGGGGACGAAGCGACAGTGACCCGCCTCCGCCGCCGTGTGGAACTGAACACACCCCACCACACGCGTGGCCGTCAGAGACGTGATGCCGTCGTCGTACACCGCTAACACACACAGCTCGTACTCGCGACCCGCCGCCAGGTCGTTGATCTTAAACGTCTTACTCGCCGAGGGAATCATCCTGCACAGAGAAAACACCAGAGAGAGTCGTTCAGACACGGCCACCGAAGCTACAAACTTACAATAACCTTAATCCTTATATATGTGACAATACAAATATATAACATTATGCAAATAAATTAGCGAAATGTTGTTTTGAACCTGCTAATTTGAATAAATTAGCCAAATGAACTGATTCATTGTAATGAATCAGACTTCCTGTTGCTTCATTTGAGAGAAAGAGAGAGATAATACGATAATGCTAATAAACATATTTAGTGCTGGGCAACGATTAATCGCATCCAAAATAAAAGTTTGTTTACATAATACATGTGTGTGTACTGCGTATAATTATTTTGTATATATAAATACACACACATGCATTTATATATTTAAGAAAAATGTGTTATTTATATATAAAATATTAATATTTATATATAATATAAATATACATACAATATATACATGCACATATTTCTTAAATATTTACATGCATGTGTGTGTATTTATATATACAAAATAATTATACGCAGTACACAGACATGTATTATGTAAACACAAACTTTTATTTTGGATGCGATTAATCGCTGCACAGCACTACTAAATATCTAAAAAGTGACTTAAATATATCAAAATTACTAAAAATGAAACTAAAATTAAAATAAAACTGAAAATATAAAAATAAGCTAATTCAAATTATTAATTATTATTAAGAAAATATAAATATTAGATGAAAATGTAAATCAAAACTTTGAAATGTTGCCTTTTCCACTTACTTAAAAATAAACTCAAATGAAAATACTGTGTGTGTGTGTGTGTGCGCGTGTGTGTGTGAGTATATGAGTGTGTGTGTGAGTGAGTGTGTGTGCGTATGTGTGTGTGAGTATATGAGTGTGTGTATGAGTGTGTGTGTGTGTGAGTGAGTGAGTGTATGTGTGTGAGTGAGTGTGTGTGCGTGTCTGTGTGTGTGAGTATATGAGTGTGTGTGTGTGCGTATGTGTGAGTATATGAGTGTGTGTATGAGTGTGTGTGCGTATGTGTGTGTGTGTGTGTGAGTATATGAGTGTGTGTATGTGTGTGTGCGTATGTGTGTGTGTGTGAGTATATGAGTGTGTGTATGAATGTGTGTGCGTATGTGTGTGTGTGTCGTTTTGAACCCCTTCATTTGAATAAACCACCTGAATGAACTGATTCACTGTAATGAATCAGACTTCCTAATACTTCATTTGAGAGAGAGAGAGAGAGAGAGAGAAATAGTAATTTTTAGTGTGCAAAATAAAGATCTCATTCATCAAACAGGAGCAGAATGAATTTCTGTGTGAATCATTCATAAAACCATTATTTTGTAAATTGGATTTACAAATGATTTACACAGAAATGGCTTGAAGAATCTTACAAAAACAGCAATAACAGTAGAGCGCTAATCGCCCATCACTGCCATACCGTCACACCGCTGACAAACACAGGTAGTTACAACTCAACGCTGTCTATCACTTACATTCAACTCAACTGAAAGTGTGTATGCATGAGTCAGGCTTTATATATTACAAATGTTTTCCAGTTCATTATTTGACGTGTGAAAATGAACCGGCTCACATTAACTTGCGTTCGAGCTCTTTGTCTTTCATGATGTGTGCTAGTGTTCTCTCGGTTCGGGATCAGAGTCGGGGCGAGACTTTAACAGCAAGCTCCGAATGAAATGTCTGGTTGGATTTAAACCTCCCTTCACCTCAGATCCCAGCAGGCCGTGCGTCTGAGCTGCTCTCTGATTGGCCGCTCTGAAACGGGACTGATAATGCATGAGATGTCCCGGGGGTCGCGGGGTCAAAGCGCTCTGTCATCACTAGCGATGTGCTTTCAGCCTCAGGTCAGAGGTTAAGAGCTGGAGAAGATGAGATGGACATTCATTGATAGAGACCTCACTGCGCGACAGAGCGAGAAGGACAGAGGAGTTATGGGTGTGAGAAGGGAACAGTGAACCGACTAGCGCTCACCTCACCATCAGATTCAAAGTAAATCACGTTCATATTCCTGTTTAGACGGTTTTATTGATGCTGGTATGAATTTAATAACTGTCAAATTAGCATTTAGTTCAGTGGTTCTCAAGTGGTTTTACTTCAGAACCAAACATCAAAAATCAAACATTGGCACACATTTTTAAAACGAATATTAATTATTATTAATATCAATATCAATGTCAATATAGGCCTTGTACACTCTAATATTGTTGTCCTACTGTTATTTTCACTGCTTCTATTGTTCTCATTTGTAAGTCGCTTTGGGTAAAAGCGTCTGCTAAATGAATAAATGTAATGTAAATGTAATATATTTTCATTTGAAAGCGCATCTTCTCTCTGTTTTGCATGGAAGCTTGTTTCCGCCACTGAATAAAAAATAAAATAATAATAATTGCGACTTTTTATCTCACAATTGCGAGATATAGTCGCAACTCTGAGAAATAAAGTCGCAATTGCGAGATATAAAGTCGCAATTCTGAGAAATAGTCGCAATTGCGAGATATAGTCGCAATTCTGAGAAATAAAGTCGCAATTGCGAGATATAAAGTCGCAATTCTGAGAAATAGTCGCAATTGCGAGATATAAAGTCGCAATTATGAGAAATAAAGTCGCAATTGCGAGATATAAAGTCGTAATTATGAGAAATAAAGTCGCAATTGCGAGAAAAAAAAGACAGAATTGCGACTTTTTATCTCACAATTCTGACTTTTTTTCTCACAATTGCGAGTTTACATCTCGCAATTCTGACTTTATAACACATAATTGCGAGTTTATATCTCGAAATTCTGACATCTTTTCTCAGAATTGTGAGATATAAACTCGCAATTGCGAGTTATCAGGCCAATTCTAAGGGGGAAAAAAGACTAATTTCCCCCCCCTCAGAATAGTTTATATCTCACAATTCTGACTTTACAACACGCAATTTCGACTTTATATCACACAATTCAGACTTTATATCTCGCAATTCTGACTTTATATCTCGCAATTCTGACTTTATATCAATCAATTCTGACTTTATATCTTGCAATTCTGACTTTATAACACGCAATTGAGACTTTATATCACGCAATTCTGACTTTATATCTCGCAATTCTGACTTTATATCTTGCAATTCTGACTTTATATCAATCAATTCTGACTTTATATCTCGCAATTCTGACTTTATAACCTGCAATTGCGACTTTATATCACGCAATTCTGACTTTATATCTCGCAATTCTGACTTTATATCAATCAATTCTGACTTTATATCTCGCAATTCTGACTTTATATCACTCAATTCCGACTTTATATCTTGCAATTCTGACTTTATAACACGCAATTGAGACTTTATATCACGCAATTCTGACTTTATATCTCGCAATTCTGACTTTATATCTTGCAATTCTGACTTTATATCAATCAATTCTGACTTTATATCTCGCAATTCTGACTTTATAACCCGCAATTGCGACTTTATATCACGCAATTCTGACTTTATATCTCGCAATTCTGACTTTATATCAATCAATTCTGACTTTATATCTCGCAATTCTGACTTTATATCACTCAATTCTGACTTTATATCTTGCAATTCTGACTTTATAACACGCAATTGAGACTTTATATCACGCAATTCTGACTTTATATCTCGCAATTCTGACTTTATATCTTGCAATTCTGACTTTATATCAATCAATTCTGACTTTATATCTCGCAATTCTGACTTTATAACCCGCAATTGCGACTTTATATCACGCAATTCTGACTTTATATCTCGCAATTCTGACTTTATATCTTGCAATTCTGACTTTATATCAATCAATTCTGACTTTATATCTCGCAATTCTGACTTTATAACCCGCAATTGCGACTTCATATCACGCAATTCTGACTTTATATCAATCAATTCTGACTTTATATCTCGCAATTCTGACTTTATATCACGCAATTCTGACTTTATAACCTGCAATTGCGACTTCATATCACGCAATTCTGACTTTATATCAATCAATTCTGACTTTATATCTCGCAATTCTGACTTTATATCACGCAATTCTGACTTTATATCTCGCAATTCTGACTTTATATCAATCAATTCTGACTTTATATCTTGCAATTCTGACTTTATAACACGCAATTGAGACTTTATATCACGCAATTCTGACTTTATAACCTGCAATTGCGACTTTATATCACGCAATTCTGACTTTATATCTCGCAATTCTGACTTTATAACACGCAATTCTGACTTTATTTCAATCAATTCTGACTTTATATCTCGCAATTCTGACTTTATAACCTGCAATTGCGACTTTATTTCAATCAATTCTGACTTTATATCTTACAATTCTGACTTTATAACACACAATTGCGACTTTATATCACGCAATTCTGACTTTATAACCTGCAATTGCGACTTTATATCAATCAATTCTGACTTTATATCTCGCAATTCAGACTTTATATCTTGCAATTCTGACTTTATATCTTACAATTCTGACTTTATTTCTCAGAAATGCGAGAAGTCGCAATTACCTTTTTTATTTTTCATTCTGTGGCGGAAACAAGCTTCCACAGTTTTGGCCTTCCATCCACACTTAGACAGCGTTTTTAACAACACACTTCCAAGTGGATTTATTTGAAAACAGTATTTTCACGTTGTTGTAGTGTGACAACTAGTGTAGCGCAAACAACTCCATTCTTGCCTAATAAACTCCTAAAACTACATCCAGCGGCATAATAACAGTAGTATTTGTAAAATTATAGTAGGTTTGCTCCTCCAGCATTGACGCTCACTGTGAGAAATGCTGCCAGTATAGATCTGGCAGGAACAAGCGGAGTGAAACACATTGGAAAACAGTTTCTGTGTGATATTAGTAGAATATTGCATTAGTAGAATAAAAGCCTCTCAGCAAATCAGATTCAAAAACTAGAACACACTGTTTTGTGTGTACATATATATGTATAGCGTTAATAATATTGATATTATTATACATTTTTTATTGAAATAATAATAATAACA